ATCACGTCGGGGTCACCAAATGTTGAGCTATCGAGATTTTTCGAATAGCTTTAAATTATTAAACGATTGAATTTACTTAATGATTAGTTTATTAGCGATTATTAGAGTTTACAGAGTTTATGTGATAGACGCGAGCAAGCGACTAGGCTGTCGTGCTGTCCGCTACTATGTTTGTAATAGTCAATCTAACACTGCATCTGCTCTAAACAAGAGTTAATTGCATACTAAGTACAATGTACGCGAGCCGGCGGATTAAGCTGAGCCGGTGCGTGGGTGAAAAAGACAACGCAAAAGGGAGAGCGTGATCTCCGTTACAAATTCTCTTAAATGATAGCATATTCTATGAACTGCCGCTCTTAATCATAATGAAGCGATGATTGCTGAGCCCAACAACGTTTTTGTTTACATTTTTAAACTGAWCAAATTCCGTTGCATTGACTCAATTTGGCTATAGTAGCAGAAAGCCAACAGCAATTTCGCTTGCTGATGGTGTGTACACACTGCCCGTATAACAGCCCTGCAGCTCACACGCTGCTAAATTCCGTTGCGCCATTTGAATTTATATTCAAATTTTTTTGTCCTAACGCATTTTTTAGCTACTTATATGATGTTACATTATGAATTTTCACCTATCTTGAGCCAACGTAAAATAGGAAAAATCGCTAAAGACTGACGTATTTGATCAATTTCATTTTTATTTCTATTTTTTTAATAAAAAACACAAGTTGAATGTAAATTTTTGTTGTTTATATATATTTTGTTGATCATTTTATTATCATTTTGTATTTGGTTCTTTTCTTTCATTTGCAAACATTATTATGTGTTGGTGTGTGTTTGTTTGTTTGTGTGTGTGTGTGTGTTCGTGTGTATGAGTTATTTTGAAGGGATCGCGATTTACTGCTGGCGGCGGCTTTTTTGGGGCTCTTTGAATATGTATATGCAAAAGTGTGGGCGTGTCTGTGTGTGTGTGTTGATTGTGTTCCTCAAAGCACCAATAACAGTAACAAAAATAATAATAAAAAATATTATAATATAATTAAGAAACATTAAATGAATGCAAAAATTCGACAGGCCGCGGACCAGAACACGATTGTTATCATTCACACCGTGCGTGTGTGTGCGTGTCAGTATGTGTGTGTGTGTATTTGATGTTAAACAAAATATCCAAGTTTGATCAGTTCTCATTAATTTGAATATGCATTGTGTATGTGTGTTTCTCTCTGTGTGTGTGTGTATGTGTATAATAAATACGAAATTATGAAAAAGCGAATTAAGCTCCTTTGGATAAACTTAAGTGATGCAGGGACGAGCTTTAAAGGTCTTTTTCTTCAACTTATTTTCATTGTTTTTGTTGTTATTATGGTTATGGCATGTGGGCGTGTCCGTAGAGCTAACACAGCATACAAACATACATATATAAATATATATATAATGAGAGCCATACATAATAAAAACATGTATAAGTACATAAAAATCGAGGACTGCTGCTGCTGCTTACTGCTGATGACAATGATAATAATGATAATGATAGTGATAATGATTATGATGTTTGTTAATTTGGTGTGAATGATATTTAACAATTTATCAATTTACAATACATTAATGTACAAAGTTTTAAATTTAAATAATGATAATAATAAGTCTATATAAGTATACATAGATACATATACATACATATGTATATATATAAATACATTATATATATATACACACATACAAGAGCGCGTTACATTAATTTTTACTCGCTGCTACTAAAAACTAGGAAAAAAAAATTACACTTATAGAATTTAATATAAACTTAGAATTTGTTATATGTTGTTGCATGTATGTGTGTGTGTGGATGTGCATACATTCAGACAGTAGTATGCATACATATACATGTACAAATGTATTACTATTCTGTTTTTCTCTAGAAATTACAAATTAATTTTTTTTAACAATTTCTTTTTCAGGCCAAAGACAATTTTGAAATATGTTTTTCCTTTTCGTTTTTGTACAGAAACTAACAACAATTAGTGTGTGTGTGTGTGCATGTGCTTGTGTGTGTTTGTGTGCAACTTAGGCTTACATATAAAGATCATGACGTTGTTGTTGTTGTTGATGCTGCTGCAGTTGTTGTGCGATTACTTTTGTTTCATTTGGTTTTTCTTGCATTTTGATTAATTATTTGCTTTGTGTTAATTACAGCTAATTAGTGGAAAAAAAAAAAAAAGCAAAAAAACAAAAAAAAAAAATTAGAAGACTAATAGAAGAGGGGACACGCTTAAACCGTTTCCAGCACACGCACATCCTTCTGCACCACATAGAACTTGTGCTTCTTGCCCACCAGGCCCCAAATGACGGCCACGTTCTCGATGACGACGTTGACCGGTATCGTGCAAACGGCGCCCAGGACGCAAGCCAGAAACTTGAGCAGCCCGAAGCGGTAGAGCGAGAACGATTTGATGACACCAAACACATACATATAGATATTGATGGCCGCTATGAAGGCGCAGACGAAGTCAACGAGATTGGGACAGGGTATCGGATAGAGGCCGGCGAATATGATGTTCGATGTGGAGAGCGGCATCGTTACCCAGGAGTAGACACTGATGCCCAGCAGCAGCTTGTGCTTGAATGGTATCATCTTCGAGTGCACCACCAGGAGGATGCCCTGGAGCCAGCGCTTGCGCTGCTGCAGCAGATCCAGCAGCGTGAACGGCGACTTCTCGTACATCTCGCCCTCGATGAAGTTGAATGTGTAGCCCTGGCTGAATGCCCGCATCGCAAAGAAGCAGTCCTCGGCCACGGATCCGTCGATTCCATTGTCGAACGAAACGGAACGCTCAGCGCCAACCTATTCGAGGGAAATTCAAATTGTTAATTGTTTATCGATTATTGAGGGAATACGATTATCGATCAATGAAAGTCTTAAAGTGAGCACATCCAATGCATAGTAATAGTAATTAGAATGCTAATGATAATGACGATTCTAATGATATTTTATAATGCTAAGCACAATCATAATGCCGATAATACTGGTATTAGTATTGCCATGAGAAAATACAAATATACATACTAGTGCTCAGGCTAATGACAATGCTAATACTAATACTGATTACCATTTCGTATAAATACTATTTACCTAGGACTAATACTGGCTGATGGCAATACAAATAGTTATAGTAATAATCTTTTTAAGGATAATACTTATACTAATGCTAGTGCTAATAGTAATGCTAATACCTACTGCTAACTCCTATACTACCCTATTAGATCTGTACTCTCTTTATCTGCTTCCCTTTTGATCGAGCTGCCTCAAGAAGTGCAATACTCACTTGGGTTACCACATAGCTGCCCTTCCAGCTGAACAGTGGCTTGTGGAAGAGCTTGAACTGCAGACGCAGCTTGCCCATGTCGTCGGATACACGAAAACTGTCCGCCAAGGTGGTTAGCCAGTTGACGACATTCTCATTGGCATAGGTGATGAGGCCCTGGCCGAACGGATGCTTGCCATCCAGGACGAAATTGATGATGCCCCGCACCGAGTTCTCGGTGAGCAGAGTCTCCTCGTCCAGGTGGACGATCCAGTCGTTGTCGTTCAGCACATTCACCGTGTCCTCGAGGCAGTATTGAAGGGCGCGCGACTTGAACAGGGCGCCAGTTCGTGTCTTGTACTCCTTGGGTACGACTATTTCGCGAATGCGCCGGTGCTGCGCCAGATGCACCGCCTTGTCCGTGACGACCTCAATCAGGAAGTTCTCCAGGCCGGTGTCGAGGCACGTATTGATGTTCCGCAGCACATTCATCTTGACTAGTTCCGGGAAATCGCCGCGTGTGACCACGCGAATGCAGATGAACGGCGCCAACAGGGGGCTACCCTTGAGGACGACCTTCTCGGGAAAGGCGTTGTAGAAGACAAGGCCGCAGAAATTGAATAGCACCTGGGGCAATGTGAGCAAGGTGAGGAAACGCAGTAAGTACAGCAATACGGTGGCCAGCTGGCCATACTCAGTCCATGGATCGACAATGGTGAAGGAGTTCTCATCGATCTTAATACCGCCGGAGAATACTTCGCAGGTAATTATCACAGTGAAGAGCAGCGTGCAGTGCAGCAGATGCTTCGTTGTCGAGTTCATCATATTGAGTGTGCACTGTTGCTGTCCAGTGTCTTCTTGACTGCTTGCTTTTGTTTATATATATGTATGTGTGTGTGTGTGTGTGTGTGTGTGTGTTCGCGTGTGTCTGATGGATTTTCTCTTTTGTTTCTCCTAATGCTTTACTTTATTTTTAATTTGCTTATGTTTCCTCTTCGATTCTTTGTTTTTTGTTTATTTGGATAGCGACCCAGACGGGTGAATGGGAGGATGCGGGTATCCGTTGTATTGTATCTTCGTTTTTTGTTTTTGTTTTTATTTATTTTGGTTTAGTTTGGTTTGTGCAGAGTTTTGTAGCTCTTAACTGGTATATACTGTATCTATGCTCTAGTTTAATATATTCTTCGTGTTTTTTCTTTCGCTTTTTCGTTTTTGTTTTTGTTTTTGTGTTTGCTTTGTTTTATTGCAATTGTTAATTGTTGCTAGTTGTTGTTGTTGTTGTTCTTCTTCTTCTTCTTCCACTTCAAGCTGTTGTTGTCGTTCAACTGTTGCCCTTGGTTGCTGCCGTTGATAATTCGCTTGGATTCGTTGCCGTCTCGCACTCTGATGAGGCACTCATTTCTATAATAAAAGAAAATAATCAATTAAAGTTCGATTCCACACTATAATGTCACAAATCGTGCAACATAAATAAGATAATGCGCCAATTCGATTAGTTCATATACCAAGAAAATGCCAAGCAGCTGATAAGTCCCTTCTCCCTCTCCCTCTCCCATCCTCTCTCTCACTGTCTTACAATATATATTTATTTATAAATATTTCACAAATCGTATTTCGGTTATATTTTTTAAATATATAATTCAACGTATTGATTAATTTAAGCGTGATATCAAATTCTTTTGAAAATGAAAATCTAAATCAATTTAACTTCAATAAATTCTTATATCATATATATATGCTTCTCTATCATATATACATACACATATCTTTATATATCCATTTAACCTTTTGAGGCGTTTCTTTTGTTTTCCGTTAGACTGAAAAGTCGTCAAAATTATTTTTTGCTTATGATGGAATTTACGACTGTGAAGTGTGAAACACCCGAAGAGGTAGACGCAGACGCAGACGCAGACACGCACACGCACACGCACACGCGCACACAGATGCCCGCACGTACGCACGCACCTCACCCTCACACCCTCACACTCTCACACCCTCACAAACACACATATGCGATTCACATGTGGCTTATCAGGGGGTATCGCGTGCGTAGCAACCCATAACCAAAGCACTTAAACAGCTCTGGCCAACCAGCAACGGTTTCTCAATACCCTACACCCAGCGTATGAGGGTATGTATGTGCACCATATGCAGGCTCTACAACCCGAACAGCAACAACAAGAGAAAGTCCTCTACAGGATTCACAAAAAACAAGAAGACCCAGCTAATTTCTATACAAAGTGTTTTCCATATATGGGTACAGTCGAGTCTCGATAATTCGTACCCCGATATGTCGATATGTCGAAGAAAATCAATCCCCTTGAAGGAAATTCGTTCTCAATAATTCTCGATAATTTGAATTTCTGTGTAAATCGAAAAATCCCTTTGGCATTTCGGATGATCAAGATTCAGTATATGAAATATGTATATAATATTTTATACTTATATATGTATATATAGT